CCCTCCGTGCACAGGCTGTAGTTTGCTGCGACGACTCCGAGGCATGTGCTCTCCCGACGAGCTGCCAAGCGCGCACTCTTCTGCTTTCGCGTCCTTCTGGGTGCTCGGTTTCGCATCGTCGTCGTCGTCATCGTCGTCGCCGTCGTCGTCGTCGTCGTCGCCGTCGTCGTCGTCGTCGTCGTCGTCGTCGTCGTCGTCGTCGTCGTCCTCGTCGTCGCCCGAGCACGGGCCCCGGAGGGCCCGGAGAGAGCCGCCCGGAGCGCAGCACGCAGAGTGAGCAGGCCGTCGCAGGCCGGGGGTATAGAGCCGAGCTCTCCAGCCACGGGGCAGAGGCCGCCGGCCTGCCTGGAGAGGGGCGGTGGCCAGAGCCCCCCGGCGGCCGCGCTGCCACTCCCCGCGGCGCGTCTCGGGCGGGGGCCAGCTGCTCCTCCTCCTCCTCCTCCTCCCCCTCCTCCCCCCCCCCTCCTCCTCCTCCTCCTTCTCCTTCCCCTCCGCCTTCTCCTCTTCCTCCTCCTCCTCCTCCGCCTCCTCCTCCTCCTCCTCCTCCCTTCCTTCTCCTTATAGATAACTCCTCCCTGTCGCACCCCGAGGCCAGGTTTTTTGGGCGGGCCGGGCGTTTCGCTTTAGACTCCTGTATCATCTATGATTCTGAAGCTTGTGACTCTCGCCGCGCACATTCGTTCTTTTAAAATAGCAAGAGTTTCACGGATTCCCATGATCAGCATACCAGAAAAAGGGTGTTTGGAAGGATTCAGGATTATGCGGGCGCAGCAGTTATGTTGATTCGCTGTGTTGAAGTCCCCGAAAATGGCGTTCTGGCATGATATTGGATCGTGAAGACGTAGCAGTCAGGTTGATACGTGGCGTTGAAATCCCGAGAACCATGTTCTGGCACGCTTCAGGATCTTCAAACTGGTGTCTTCCAACGAGGCAGTTCCCTCAATGGAAATGAACCGTTGTAGGGGCCTATGAAGAGGGAACTTGGACGGAGGGTTAATTCCAACATCGTTGATGACTCTTGGGTTTCCACTGGTCCTCCTCCGCCTCCTCCTCCTCCTCCTCCTCCTCCTCCTCCTCCTCCTCCTCCTCCCCCTTCTCCTCCTCCCCCGCCTCATCCTCCCCCTCCTCCTGCTCCTCCTTCTCCTGCTCCTCCTCATCAGCATCAGCATCAGCATCATCATCATCATCGTCATCATCGTCATCATCGTCATCATCATTCTCATCATCATCACCATTTCATCATCATCACCATCATCATCATCATCATCATCATCATCATCATCATCATCATCATCATCATCATCATCATCATCAGCATCATCATCATCACCATCTGAATCATCATCACCATCATCATCATCATCATCATCATCATAATCATCATCACCATCATCACCACCATCATCATTATCATCGTTATCATCATTCTCATCATTCTCATCATTCTCATCGTCAGCATCATCAGCAGCATCATCATGGCCTAACGTCAGGGGAGGAACAACCACCCGGACCCGATCCTCGGCGTTTACCAAAAGCGGCCCCAGGCGTTTGCGACACCGCCCTGCCCCGCCGACCTGCCGGCGAGGGGGCGGCGCCAGAGCCCCGGTCGGCCGCGCCGCTGCTCCCCGCGGCGCGTTTCGGGCGGGGGCCCGCTGTCTTCGGGCGGGGGGCGCCCAGCTGCGCGCAGAGGGGGGTGGGGGGCCTTGTGGGCCCCGGAGACGGCAGGGCCGTTTTTTTTTCACCGTTTCCCAAAGAAAAGATGTCCCTTGAAAATGGAAGCGGCAAAAAAAACGGCGACCAGAAACGGCAACAGAAACGGCTCCAGGATTGGAGCCGGAGCCGGAACCGGTCAAAAAACGGCGACGGAACTGGTAAAAAAACGGCGTCGGAACCGGCAAAACAACGGCAAAACGGAACCGGTAAAAAAACGGCCCTGTCGTTTCCAGGGCCCGCTGGGGGGAGGGGGGAGGGCTTCTTAGAAGCGCTCCTGCTTCTCAGAAGGCGCGGGCCTTGTCTACGGACGTAAAGCCTGCGCCTTCTAAGAAGCAGCCTCCTTCTAAGAAGCCCTCCCCGCTCCCTCCACCCCCCTGTGCGCGCCGCCAAGGCTTGTCGCAGGCCTAGAGGTTTCGGGGGTGGGCAGAGCCCCCACCCTGACAAGTTGATTCGCGAATTGTCCGTTTTCGGTTCTCGAGAGGGCGCCGCGGCCGTCATTTTCCAGGTTTGGGCCCGAGGTCGTTTTCACTAGACCACGTTTTACTAAAAGGGGTTCTGTCCATCCCCGAGTCTCAGACGGGGGCCAGCTGTCCGAGGCGGGGGTTTATCGCAGGCCTTAGAGGTTGACACCAACACAAAGATCGGCGGTGTGCCTCCACCGAGGGAAGAAGGTCCCGATCTCGGTGATGGTGGTCCTACTCTGGCTTCCAAGGTGGCCGAAATATTACCACCAACACCGAAACCTAGGATCATCTTCCCCTTGTGGAGGCACCCCCTGTGTTTGTGTTGGTGCCCATCCAGGCCTACAAGTTTATACATAACCACCGCCTGGAGGATCGATTTCCGGAGGCCTCGACAGGCGGTGGATACGGACATCTCCGCCCCCTGGGCCCACATACACATATATATATATATATATAGACATAGGTATATATACATAGGTATGTGTGCGTACATACATATATGCATATACACATATGTATGCGTATATGTATATGTATATGTATATGTATATGTATATGTATATGCATATGTATACATATACATATACATATACGTATATGTATACGTATATGTATATGTATATGTACATGTATATGTATAAGTATGTGTATATATATATATATATATATATATGTGTACGTGTACGTGTATATGTATATGCATCGGTATTTGTATATGTATAAATATATGTATATGTGTAGGTGTATGGGTATGTGTATGTGTATGTGTATGTGTATATGTATATGTATATGTATATGTATGTGTATACGTATATGTGTATGTGTATGTATATGTACATGCATGTATGTATGTATGTATGTATGTATGTATGTATGTATGTATGTAGGTATGTATCCTTGTGTGTGTATGTATGTATGTACGTACGTATGTATGTATGTATGTATGTATGTATGAATGTATGTATGTATGTATGAATGTTTGTATGTTTGCATGTTTGTATGTGTGTGTATGTATGTATGTATGTATGTATGTATGTATGTATGTATGTATGTATGTATGTATGTTGTATGTATGTATGTAATGTAATGTATGTATGTATGCATGCATGCATGCATGTATGTATGTATGAATGTATGAATGTATGTATGTATGTATGTATGTATGTATGTATGTATGTATGTATGTATGTATGTATGTATGTATGTATGTATGTGTATATATATAAATCCGCCGCCCGCTGTGGCCCCAGGACGTCGTTTCCACAGGCGGTGGATATGGAGATATCCCCGCCTCGCAAGCTGAGACCACGGCGGCTCCCCCGCCCAGCTCTCGGGCGTCGCCGCGGCCTGCGTCGTGTCAGCGGCCGCCGCCGCACGCGCCTGGGAACCGATGCACGTCCTCCTCCTCCTCCTTCTCCTCCTCCTCCCCCTCCTGCTCCTCCTCTCCTCCTCCTCCTCCTCCTCCTCCGCCTCCTCCCCCGCCTCCTCCTCCTCCTCCTTCCCCTCCGCCTCCTCCTCCGCCTCCTCGTCCTCCTCCTCCTCTTCCTCCTCCTCCTCCTCCTCGTCGTCCTCCTCCTCCTCCTCGTCTAGAACCGGGAACCGATGTGCGAATCTAGAACCGTGTGCAGTGCGGCCTGGCTTGCCGCATTGTCGCAGGCCTAGAGGTTGACACCAACACGAATTTCGGCGGTGTGCCTCCACCGAGGGAAGAAGGTCCCGGTCTCGGCGATGGTGGTAATCTTTTGGCTTCCAGGGTGGCCGAAATATTACCACCAGCACCGAAATCGAGGATCATCTTCCCCCTGTGAAGGCAACCCCCTGAGTTGGTGTTGGTGCCCATTTCCAGGCCTCCAACATTGGGCATGCATATCGGCTTGCATCGGAGGAGGGTCGCGGTTCAGACAAAGGCGGCTCTCCCGCCTGGCCCAAGTCCGGTCAACATCGGTCCCAGGACGCATCCCTGGGTGCATCCCGGCCCGTTTTCGACGCGGATTCCGCCGTGGCGACGAGAAGCCTTAAGTCGGCATTGTCCCTCTACAGGAAGAATATCCAAAAATAACCCAGATATAGTCCGTTTTTTTTTTTTTGTTTAAATATTTTTTGAATATCTGTTGAATATTATTTGATTATTTTCATGTTGCATCCAACATCCGCCTGTCGGAGGACATGCCCGACCTGAGAGAAGCCTCTAGGAGGCCCGAAAAGGCTGAAGGGCACCAGTGAGGGCCGTCGTCTGGGTCGGGGGCAGTTCGCCCGCAGGCCTGTGGAGGGTTTGAAGGTGCCAGGCTGCCACCTGAACACCGGATCGTCTCCTCCTCCTCCTCCTCCTCCTCCTCCTCCTCCTCCCTCCTCCTCCTCCTCCTCCTCCCTCCTCCTCCTCCTCCTCCTCCTCCTCCTCCTCCTCCTCCTCCTCCTCCTCCTCCTCCTCCTCCTCCTCCATCCCCCTCCTCCTCCTCCATCCCTGTCGCCACATAGATACCTCCCCCCTTCGCCACATAGATACCTCCCCGCTGCTTCATTGCACTACAGGCGGGCAATGTCCATATCCACATCCAAGTGCGTCTTGGAGCTTCGGGCTCTCCCTCCCCCAGACACAGGAGGCGCACTGGACATGGATGGAACTCTGGCCCCCGAAGGCTGGACTTTTATATCCCTGTCCAGTGCGCCCCGGCCCCGCGGCGCCCCTCCCGAGACCGTCCAAGACGCACAGGATATGGATACGGACTTGCCCGCGATCCGAAGACCTGGACCGTCCCGCTGCTTTTCATGGCATGACAGTCGGCGAGAGGGCCGACCGTCGTCTCGACCGGGCGCCGGGGGCAGGCCGTACTGCGGTCCCTCGAGGCGGACAGCTTCAGCTGCACCGTGGCGCTCCCAGGCGGCGGGCTGCTGCGGGGGCTGCCGTACGAGCGCGTGTGCAAGCTGCTGGAGGCCCGGGGGCCCAGGAGAGCTCCGCCTCCCCTGACATTCTCCCGCGCCGCGAGGCGACAGAGAAGGCTCTCCACACGTCTCCACTACGTTTAAGTCGGGCGTGTCCCTCCACAGGAGGAATATTCGAAAATGGTCAACAAAAATAGCCTGGGGACGATTTGTTGATTCTTTTTGGGACTATTTGCGAGCATTTTTTTAAAGCATTTTTGATTATTCGCCCCGACTCCGCCTGCAGGGGGACACGCCTGACCGCACACCTGCGCTCTCGACAGGCCTCCCAGCCTCGGGGTGCTCGCCAGCAGCTGCGCCTCGCCGAGGGCCTCCCGGAGGGGGTGCCCCGAGGACCGTTCGGGAGCCTTGAGACGGGGGTCAATGCAAACAGGGGTCATCCAGGGCGCCAGATCCTGCAGGATCCTGCGAAGACCCCCTCTGGCTGACCCGGGTCGGCGAGCCCCTCGAGGCCGCGAGGCGGCCGCGCATAGCGGCCGACCCGGGCTTGCGAAGAGCTGCGCTGCAGTTTTTTTTTTTTTTTTTTTGTTGTTGTTCCTGCATTGCAGTTTTTGGTTTCCTGCTGACCCGGGTCTGGATTGACCCGGGTCAGAAGATCCCCGAGGACCGTCCCCGGGCGGCCGAGCCTGCGGCCCGAGAGCCTGCGGCCCCCGAGAGGAGCCGGGCGTTCCTCCTCGCGTGCCGAGGGCGCGGCGGGGAGGGCCCTGCTCTTTTCTTTGCGGGGGGGGGGGGGGGCGCTCGGGGCCGCCCTGGCCGGGCCCCAGAAGGGTGGGCGGGAAGCGGCTCGGGGCGAGCAGCCGGTCCCGGGGAAGGGGTCCAGACCTCTGGAGAGCCACGTCACCAGAATCACCACCTACCAGACCACCCGAACCCAACCCGACGGCCTCAATTTGCCCTTCATTTCCAGTGCGGGGGGGTCGGGGAACGTCGAAAAAACACATGGAACCCGTACCCCCCCCAACCCGAAATTCGGGTCAAATTCGGGTCTTCGGGTTGGGTTGGGGTGGTTTGGTAGGTAGTCACAGAAAGCACCACTCGTCTGCACGCCCGAGATGGGTACGGAAAGAGTGGGTACAGTGCCCAACAGCAGTTCCTGCTCATCTTGCACAGGACTCGCTGTGCGCGCCGCCGCGGCCTGTGTCCATTCGAGACGGAAGGCCGCCTGCCCAACAGCGGCCGCTGTCGGTTTGGGACAACATTTGTTGTTGGGTATTGTACCCGTTTTTTCCGTACCCATTTCGGGCGTCCAAAGGAGAGCCACGTCACGAGAAAGCACCACTCGGGTCGACCCAGAAGGGGGTCCAGCGACAAGGGGGTGGTGCAATAGACTGGGTGCAGTAGTCTACTGCACCCAGTAGATGTATGGCAGCCCCACACATCTACTGTATATGTGTGGGGCTGCCATACATCTGGGGCGTGCAATACATTCCGGGGCGCAAGTGTATTGCTGGGTTTTCGCGTGCAATACATTGTTTGCAATACAATGCAATGCAAGTCTCCGGCGCAAAACATTTGCAATACAATTGCCCCAAATCTATTGCACCACCCCCTTTAAGCTGGACCCCCCTTTAGGGTCACCCAAAGTCCTGGGGAAGGGGTCCAGATTTCTGGAGAGCCACGTCGCGAGAAAGCACCACGTCGGATATGTGGGTCCTCGGTCTTCCCCTCGGCCTTCTCCCGCCCCCAGCTGCCGGCAGGGATGGGACGAGGGACGGGCCGCTAGTTATCGGAGGTTGATAGACCTCCTACCCTGACACGTCGATTAGCGAATTGGCCGTTTTCGGTTCGCGAGAGGGCGTCGCGGCCGTCATCTTTGCGGGTCCAGGCACGTCGGTTTCGGTTTTAGGCCGTTTGCACTGAAGGGGGTGGTTTACTTAAGGGAGGTTTGTCCACCGCCGACTTCTCCCGCCCCCAGCTGCCGGCAGGGATGGGACGAGGGATGGGCCGCCAGTTACCCCCCTGGGAGTCCACATCCTGAGGTTCGGCGGCGAGCGCGTTCCACTACTCGCAAAGTGCCTACTCGCAAACGTCAGAAAACCATACGTCGGACCTCGTACGATGTATCGCAAATCCTCCCCTGTGGCGGATAGGCCATCTGCGGGTAGCTACTCTGCGAGTCGTGGCACGCGCTTGTCGAGGTTCGGCGGCGCGCCGGGGGCAAGCGCGAGGGGGCAGGCCCTCTCAGAAGGTGGCGGGTGGGCTTCTCGGGAGCCCTCCGGCCTTCTGAGGAGCCGTCTCTGTCTCGGAGGGCCCTCTCAGCCCAAGTATATGCCTTCTTGCGCAAGGCGGGTGGGCTTCTCGGGAGCCCTCCGGCCTTCTGAGGAGCCGTCTCTGTCTCGGAGGGCACCAACTATACACCAACACCGATCCTGGCCAGGATCGGTGTTGGTGTATAGTTGGTGCCTTCCTATCTGTCTTCGGGGGAGGCCTGCGGTCGGGAAGCTCTGCTCAGAGTGCCGCTCCGCCGGTGCCGGCCCACCGCCCTTCGGCGCGGCACGTGTTCCACTTCCAGTCCCTGGGCGTCGGCAGCCCGAACTTCAGGAGGGGAAAAAACACACAGACACAATTAATCGTCGACTCCCTAGAAAATATGGGAAAATATGGGAAGTGGGGGGGAAGACAGAAACCCAGAAAATATACGAAAATATGGGGAATCTTTTTATTTGTGTGTATTTATTTGTGTGTCCCAGGGCCCCTTCAGAACTGTTCCCAGCACCCCGCGGAGCGGAGCGACACGCTGCCCGCCTGCCGGGCACAGCGTTTCGCCGTGGCCGCCGCCGCGACACGCGGAGCAAACCTTCCCGACCGCAGGAAGCTTCGCTGAGGAGAAGTCGCGCGCAGCGCACGTGCTCAGGTATGCCGTGTGTCAGGAGGGAAAGAAACACACAGACACAATTAATCGTCGGTTTTCCAGAACATATGGGAAAATATGGGAAGTGGGGGGGAAGACAAAAACTCAGAAAATATAGGAAAATATGGGGGATATTTTTATTTGTGTGTATTTATTTGTGTGTCCCAGTTCCTCTTCAGTGTGGCTGATCGAAGCCCGTCCTCATGAACAGCGGGTCAGTCACATGGACGCAGGCTCCCCGCAAAAGGCCAGATATGATTAGCCAGAACGCTGTTCAAAATTGGCACGAGACGGCCGACGAGGGCCCCAAGGCAGGTTCAAAAGGGGCCAAGAAGAGCCCGAGGCGGCTCAGTCCGAACACCATTGGAACCAGCATGGGCTTCGTTTTGTGGATCAAGTTAAAATTGGGCTCGGAAGCGTCGAAACATCGAGCCTGGAGCGCGTCTATTTAAAACGGCGCCGAAATCATGATGGTGAAAGGTGCAGTGCACAAGCCCGACAGTCAGCGATAAGAGGCGTCCAGATGACTCCCAGCTTTGTTGAAATCGTATATGACCCAAGGGGGATGCTAAGTTTTTCCGAACCCTCCTGTTTTAAGTTGGGTATTCGTTTTGAATCAGCAGGGCTCCGCGTCCTCCTCGTCCTCCTCCTCCTCCTCCTCCTCCTCCTCCTCCTCCTCCTCCTCCTCCTCCTCCCTCCTCCTACCCTTGCCTCTGCCCTCCGCGTATCCTCGTCGTCATCATAGTCCACATCATTAGCATCATCACCATCGCCATCGGCTCCTGTTCTTGCCTCAGCTCTCATATGTCAATTTCGGCACACCTCTCACACGTTTCGTGGCCCCAAGGGGAGCTCCATCGAATGTCACAGTGGCAGGGTCCGCATGGCAGCGGTGCCTCATCTCAGCGCACCCCTAACGCGTGTCGTGGCTCCCTGGGGAGCTCCACCGAAGGCTCCAGTGGCAGAGTCCGCATGGCGTCGGCGCTTTATATCGACACACCCCTCACACGCTTCGTGGCCTCATAGGCAGCTCCAGCCTAGGCCCAAACGCCAAGGTCCGCATGACGGCGGTGTCTCATTTGGGCATACCCTCACACGTTTCCTGGTCCCGAGCTCCAGACAATTCCCAAATGCCAGGGTCCGCATGGCGTCGGCGCTTTATCTCGGCACACCCCTCGCACGTTTCGTGGGACCACAAGGAACTCCAGCCACGGCCCACAAGCTGGAGTCTGCACGGCGTCGGCGCTTTCCTCGGGCAGACCCCTCTCAAACGCTTCGTGCCCCCCTGAGCTCGATCGAAAGCTCCAAAGGCCATGCCCGCATGCGGCCGCCCCACCCGTTGCGGCACGCCCCTCACACGCATCGTGGCCCCCTGGGGAGCTCCCCCAGAGGCCCCAGCGGCGGTGTCCACAGGCGGCCGCCCCACCCGTTTCGGCACACCCACGACACGTGTCGTGGCCCGAGCCGAGCGCAAGCCTTTGTGGGACTTGAGGCAGACCCCGCTGGGCTCCGAGGTTTGGGGCGCCGGCCTGTACGCTGAAGGCCCCTCGGCCTCTTCTGTTCTGACTGTGCCAGCGTGGTCCTCCACTCGTCGTCTTTGTGCTGTGCAGGCGTTTCGTCTGCTGAGCGTCGATGCAGTGGAGGCCCATGCCAAGAAACACCCTGCTTGCCTCCAGGGTGCCCTTTTTTTGTGTGTGTGTGTGTGGGTGTTTTTGGTTTCGATAGTTTTGCAATGAAAAGCGTGACGTTCCCACACCAAACATGAATGGACGTCCTGGGGTCTCAGGGTTGGGTTTCTTGTGGAAGGTTTCTTGTGGTCGAGGTTCTGGTCTGGTGCTTCAAGCTAGGCACCACATCGGTAATTTCTGTAAGTCGTTCCTTAGTGTAGCGGCTCACAAGGACGCCGACGAACCCGACATAAGCGCTCACGAGCGCTTCCGCCGTTTGGGCAATGGATGCTCGCCGACCGCGCGGCCAACGACGGTGCGGCGGTGCACCCCAGAAGGAATCCCTCCGACGCCGATTACCTAGATCGCAGAATCAAGATTGCGAGGGCTTTGCTGACTCAAAGGAGAAAACAAAGGCATAAACATACACTTCTGGCGCTTCGCGCGGATTCCTTGGATCCGCGCTGGGTCCCCCCTGACGGCGCCT